CAGGGAGCCCGATGCGGGACTCGATCCCGGGACTCCAGGATCATGACCTGAGCTGAAGGCAGTCGCTTAACCAACTGAGCCACCCAGGCGTCCCCCATTTCCATTCTTTTAAGACCTTCAGTGTGGTGATCTCACTTTAAATACTGTCCCATTTGGGGGCGCCTGGGTAGCTCAGTAGGTGAAACATCTGTCTTCAGCTCAGGTCATGAGCTCAGGGTCCTGGGACTGAGTCCTGCATCGGCCTCCCTCCTCAGTGGGGAGTCTGCTGGAAATTCTGTCTCTCTCTCCCTCTGCCCCTCTCCTGCTCATGCTCAAGCTCTCGTTCTCTCTCTCTCTCACATAAATAAATAAAAATCTTTAAAAAAAAAAAATACTGTCCCATTTTGTCATCCTAAGTCATCTCTGGAGAACTGGTACTAATGGCCAGACTAAGCCCACTGAAAGTCTTGAGTAAAGCAAACCCACGATCATTTGAAAACAGCATGTGAGAGGCCCCCAGTTGTGTGAAAGCCTAGCCTGTGTCTTATGGTGCTTTAGAATGTATGTATGCGTGTTTAAATGCATGATACATATTCGTATGTGTTGCCGTGGCTATATGTTGATGGCCAACATAACTGGTAGACAGGGTCCATTAGAGGAAATGAAACAGTCTTTTTGGTGGCTATTAAAGCAAAATGTGTATAAAGAAATATTTTTTCTTAAAAAAAAAAAAAAAAAAACACAAACTCTTCCTAAAAATCAAACTTCCAACCTTTTAATCTGTATTTTCTGCAGTGTATTTTTCCTCAAACCAAAATCACTTTATAATTACTACAGTTTTAGACATAAAACTTAATGTAATTTTTTAAAAACTGCCATTAATATAATAAAACTATTTATAAAGCTAAAACAAATACCATTTATATAGCTTGCAACTAGAAAAATTTTTAAAAACTGCTTATCTAAGTATAATAATTCATATAGAATAGAATAATATTTCAAAATATTTAAGCTCCTTAATAGTATTCTTCAGTATATAATAAAGGAAACATTCAGTATTTTTAATCCATGTATTTTTTTTTTTTTACCTGGAAAAGGTTAAGGGCTCTGACTGCTGCAATATCCAACTTCATGTACTGGCTGAAGTCAAAAGTAGTCAGTTCAAACTGTCCAAAGTTTGAATCATCTGATAAGAGTTCTAAAAACTTGATTACTGCAGACAATGCTGAAGCTGCAACCTAAGATGAAGAATTTAAAAGAAAAGATTCTGTGACTAAAATCCTAGAGATTAAAAAAAAAAAAAATGGCAAAATGGAAATAAATTCTAAACGTGATCATTTTCCTTGGTATTCCTTCCCAATCCAAATCAAGAAAATCAGAAAAGTTTAAATAAATCTCTTAAGATTAGAAAATGATTTTTAAAAAGTCAAAATTTACTGTAATAGTAACACTATTTATAATAGCCAAAAGTGGAAATGACTCAAATGCCTACCAAGTTTGGTATGTTCGCCCCTATGGTATACTGCACAAAAAGATAGAAGCACCAACAATGCAGTGACACACGACAATATGGATAAATCTCACAAACATAATACTAAACAAAAGAAACCAGGCACAAAAGGCTGCAAAATAGGATTCATTAATATAAACTATAAAAACAGGCCAAACTAATCTGTGCTGTCAGAGTTAAGAACCAGGGTTACGTTTGGTGGGTAATGATTGGAAGGAAGCATAAAAAAGGTCTTTGAAGTGCTGGTACCATCATTTCATGGATGCTGGCTATTTGGCTATTTGCAATTTATGAAAATTCAGTTATACACCTGTGATATATGCACTTATCTACATGTGTATTTAATAAGAAGTTTCAGCGCGCCTGGGTGGCTCAGTCAGTTAAGTGTCTGACTCTTAATTTTGGCTCAGAGTCGTGAGATAGGGCCCCACATGGGGGTCTGCGCTTAGTGTGGAGTCTGCTTGAGATTCTGCCTCTCCCTCTGCCCCTCCCCCCACTCAAGCACCCGCTCTCTAAAATAAATAAAATCTTTTGAACATAAATAACTTTAAATAAACTGTCTATGTTATTACTACAACATAAGTTTCAGGACATCAAACTGAGAGCCCAAAGACGATTCCTACATACTAAAACATACTTGAGAGCGCCTGGGTGGCTCAGTCAGTTAAGCAAATGCCTTCAGCTCAGGTCATGATCCCAGGGGCCTGGGATCCAGCCCCGCATCAGGCTCCCTGCTCAGCAGAGAGTCTGCTTCTCCCTGTCTCTCTCCCTCTACCTCTCCCCCTGCTTGTGCTCACTGTCAAATAAATAAATAAGATATACTTGGTACTAGATTGTAAATTGTAACCTATTTTCCCTAAGTCATCTATGTGTCCTTGCCAAACTCTAGCAAATGTGTAAGACTGTCAGAACCTCCTACAATGTTACCACACAGATAAAAACACTTTTCAGTAACCCTAAAAGCTTCTTGATATTTTCAAGAGGGAAGGCTTTTTTTTATTATTAACATATAATGTATTCTTTGTTTCAGGGGAACAGGTCTGTGATTCATCAGTCTTACACAATAACACAGCGCTCACCACAACACACATCCTCCCCAATGCCCATCACCCAGCCACTCCATCTCTCCCACCAACCTCCACTCCAGCAACCCTCAGTTTGTTTCCTGAGATTAAGAGTTGTTTCATTTTTTCCTCTCTTCCCCTATGATCCTCTGCCTTATTTCTCAAATTCCACATATCAGTGAGATCATATAATTGACTTTCTCTGATTGACTTATTTCGCTTAGCATAATACCCTCTAGTTCCATCCACGTCATTGCAAATGGCAAGATTTCATTTTTTTAAGGTTGCATAATATTCTCTGTGTGTGTGTGTGTACACCACATCTTCTACATCCATTCATCTGTCGATGGACATCTCAGCTCTTTCCATAGTTTGGATATTGTGGACATTGCTGCTATAAACATTGGGGTGCAGGTGCCCCTTCGGATCACTACATTTGTATCTTGGGGGTAAATACCCAATAGTGAAATTGCTAGGTCGTAGGGTAGCTCTATTTTCAACTTTTTAAGGAACCTCCATACTGTTTTCCAGAGTGGCTGCACCAGCTTGCATTCCCACCAACAGCATACGAGGGTTCCCCTTTCTCTGCATCCTCGCCAACATCTGTCACTTCCTGATTGTCATTCTGACTGGTGTGAGGTGTTATCTCATTGTGGTTTTTGATTTGTATTTCCCTGATGCTGAGTGATGTTGAGCGCTTTTTCATGTGTCTGTTGGCCATTTGGATGTCTTCTTTGCAGAAATGTCTGTCATGTTTTCTGCCCATTTCTTGATTGGACTATTTGTTCTTGGGGTGTTGAGTTTGAGAAGTTCTTTATAGATTTTGGATACTAGCCCTTTATCTGATATGTCATTTGCAGATATCTCTTCCCATTCTGTCGTTGTCTTTGGTTTTGTTGACTGTTTCCTTTGCTGTGCAAAAGCTTTTTATCTTGCTAAAGTCTCAATAGTTCATATTTGCCCTTGCTTCCCTTGCCTTTGGGGATGCTTCTAAGAAGTTGTTGTGGCCGAAGTCACAGAGGTTGCTGCCTGTATTCTACTCAAGGATTTTGATGGATTCCTATCTCACATTTAGGTCTTTCATCCACTTTGAGTCTATTTTCGTGCATGGTGTAAGGAAATGGTCCAGTTTCATTCTTTTGCATGTGGCTGTCTAATTTTCCCAACACCATTTGCTGAAGAGACCGTCTTTTTTCCATTGGATATTCTTTCCTGCTTTGTCGAAGACAGTTGACAATAGAGTTGAGAGTCCATTTCTGGGTTCTCTATTCTGTTCCATTGATCTATGTGTCTGTGTTTGTGCCAGGACCATACTGTCTTAATGATTACAGCATTGTAATAGAGCTTAAAGTCCAGAATTGTGATGCCACCAGATTTGGTTTTCATTTTCAACATTCCTCTGGCTATTCGGGGGGCTCTTCTGGTTCCATACAAATTTTAGGATTATTTGTTCCAGCTCTGTGAAAAAAGTTGATGGTATTTTGATAGGGATTGCATTAAATATGTAGATTGCTCTAAGCAGCATAGACATTTTAACAATATTTCTTCTGCCAATCCATGAACATGGAATGTTTTTCCATTTCTTTGTGTCTTCTTCAATTTCTTTCATGAGTATTCTATAGTTTTCTGAGTACAGATCCTTTGCCTCTTTGGTTAGATTTATTCCTAGGTATCTTATGGTTTTTGGTGCAATTGTAAATGGGATCGACTCCTTAATTTCTCTTTCTTCTGTCTCATTGTTAGTGTAAAGAAAGGCAACTGATTTCTGTGCATATGTTTTATATCCTGCCACTTAACTGAATTCCTGTATGAGTTCTAGCAGTTTTGGGGTGGAGTCTTTTGGGTATTCCACATAAAGTATCATACCACCAGCAAAGAGTGAGAGTTTGACTTCTTTGACGATTTGGATGCCTTTTATTTCTTGTTGTTGTCTGATTGCTGAGGCTAGGACTTCTAGTACTATGTTGAACAGTAGTGGTAACAGTGGACATCCCTGGCATGCTCCTGACCTCAGGGGGAAAGTTCTCAGTTTTTCCCCATTGAGGATGATATTCACTGTGGGCTTTTCATAGGTCGCTTTTTGATATTGAGCCTCTATCCCTACACTGTGAAGAGTTTTAATCAAGAAAGAATGTTCTTTGTCAAATGCTTTTTCTGCATCTATTGAGAGGATCATATGGTTCTTGTCCTTTTATTATTTTTTTTAAAAAATTTTATTTATTCATTTGACAGAGAGAGAAAGCACAAGTAGGCAGAGCGGCAGGCAGAGGGAGAGGGAGAAGCAGGCTCCCAGCTGAGCAGGGAGCCTGATGCGGGGCTCGATCCCAGGACCCTGGGATTGTGACCTGAGCCGAAGGCAGCTGCTTAACCAACTGAGCCACCCAGGCACCCCTTGTCCTTTCTTTTATTAATGTAGTGTATCACAATGATTAATTTGTGGATGTTGAACCAACCCTGCAGCCCAGGAATAAATCCCACTTGGTCATAGTGAATAATCCTTTTAATGGACTGTTGGATCCTATTGGCTAGTATCTTGGTGAGAATTTTTGCATGCATGTTCATCAAGGATATTGGTCTGTAATTCTCCTTTTTGGTGGGGTCTTTGTCTGGTTTTGGGATCAAGGCAATGCTGGTCTCATAAAATGAGTTTGGAAGCTTACCTTGAATTTCTATTTTTTGGAACAGTTTCAGAAGAATAGGTCTTAATTCTCTTCTTTAAATGTTTGGTAGAATTCCCCTGGGAAGCCATCTGGCCCTGGGCTCTTCTTTGTTGGGAGATTTTTGATTACTGCTTCAATTTCCTTGCTGGTTATGGGTCTGTTCAGGTTTTCTATTTCTTCCCGGTTCAGTTTTGGTAGGTTATACGTCTCTAGGAATACATCCATTTCTTCTACATTGTCTAATTTGTTGGCATATAGTTGCTCATGTTCTTATAATTGTACTTCTTCAGTATTGGTTGTGATCTCTCCTTTTTCATTGAAGATTTTATTTATTTGGGTCCTTTCTCTTTTCTTTTTGATTAAGTCTGGCCAGGGGTTTATCAATCTTATCAATTCTTTCAAAGAGCCAGCTCCTAGTTTCGTTGATGTGTTCTATTGTTCTTTTGGTTTCTCTTTCATTGATTTCTGCTCTGATATTATTTCTCTTCCCCTGCTGGGTTTAGGCTTTGCCATTCGTTCTCCAGATCCTTTTGGTGTAGGGTTAGGTTGTGTATTTGAGACCTTTCTTGTTTCTTGAGAAAGGCTTGTATTGCTATATACTTCCATCTTAGTACCACCGTTGTTGCATCCCAAAGATTTTGAACAGTTGTGTTTTCATTTTTTTTTTTTTAAAGATTTTATTTATTTGACAGAGAGAGACACAGTTAGAGAGGGAACACAAGTGGGGGAGTGGGAGAGGGAGAAGCAGGCTTCCCTCGGAGCTGGGAGCCCAATGCGGGCCTCGATCCCAGGACCCTGGGACCATGACCTGAGCTGAAGGCAGACGCTTAACGACTAAGCAACCCAGGCGCCCCCAACTGTGTTTTCATTTTCATTTGTTTCCATGATTTTTTTTTTAATTCTTCTTCAATTTCCTGGTTGACCCATTCATTCTTTAGTAGGATGCTCTTTAGCCTTCACGTATTTGAGTTCTTTCCACCTTTCCTCTTGTGACTGAGTTCGAGTTTCAAAGCACTGTGGTCTGAAAATATGCAGGGAATGATCCCAATCTTTTGGTACCAGTTGAGACCTGATTTGTGACCCAGGATGTAATCTATTCTGGAGAATGTTCCAAGTGCACTAGAGAAGAATGTATATTCTGTAGCTTTGGTATGGAATGTTTTTTTTTATTTTTTTTATTTTTTTAAGATTTTATTTATTTATTTGACAGAGAGAGACACAGCAAGAGAGGGAACACAAGCAGGGGGAGCAGGAGAGGGAGAAGCAGGCTTCCTGCCAAGCAGGGAGCCCGATGCAGGGCTCGATTCCAGGACGCTGGGACCATGACCTGAGTTGAAGGAAGACACTTAACGACTGAGCTACCCAGGCGCTTTTGGAATGTTCTGAATATATCTATGTAGTCCATGTAATCCAGTGTGTCATTTAAGGCCCTTATTTGTTGATCTTTTGCTTAGATGATCTGTCCATTTCCGTGAGGGGAGTATTAAAGTCCCCTACTGTTATTGTATTACTGTTGATGTGTTTCTTCGATTTTGTTATTAACTGGCTTATATAATTGGCTGCTCCCTTGTTAGGGGCATAAATAATTACAATTGTTAGATCTTCTTGTTGAATAGACCCTTTAAGTATGACATAGTGTCCTTCTTCATCTTTTATTACAGTCTTTGGTTTATAATCTAATTTGTCTGATATAAGGTTTGCCGCCCTAGCTTTCTTTTGATTTCCATTAGCATGATAAATGGTTTTCCACCCCTCACTTTCAATCTGGAAGTGTCTTCAGTCTAAAATGAGTCTCTTGCAGACAGCATATTGATGGGTCTTGCTTTTCTATCCAATCTGATACCCTTTGTCTTTTGACTTAGCTCATTTACATTCAGGGTAACTACTGAAAGATATGAATTTAGTGCCATTGTATTGCCTGTTAGGTGACAGTTACTATATATTGTCTCTGTTCCTTTCTGGTCTATGTTACTTCTGGGCTCTCTCTTTGCTTAGAGGACCCCTTTCAATATTTTCTGTAGGGTTGGTTTGGTGATTGTAAATTCTTTTAGTTTCTGTTTGTCCTGGAAACTTTTTATCTCTCCTTCTATTTTCAATGACAGCCTAGCTGGATAAAGTATTCTTGGCTGCACATTTTTCTCATTTAGTACCCTCAAAAGGTAAGTTTCTAATACCAGTATTAGTACTCATATATACTGGCTTTTGATTACATCACACACACAAATATTAAAATAATTATTCAATTTATAAGAATCAAACTAGGGTGTGCCTGAGTGGCTCAGTCGTAAAGCGCCTGCCTTCGGCTCAGGTTATAATCCCAGGGTCCTGGGATCAAGCCCCAAGTTTCTCCCTCTCCCACTCCCCCTGCTTGTGTTTCCTCTCTCGCTGTGTCTCTCTCTGTCAAATAAATAAATAAAATCCTTAAAAAAAAAAAAAAAGAATCAAACTATTACGTGACAGGCAATCACCACAAAATCATGATAATCATAACAGTCCCAGTTCATTCTAGTTTGAAATCTACTCTGAGAATTCTAAGTTATAAAGTTCTAAATCTACTCTGAGAATTCTAAGTTATAAAGTTTGTTCTGTCTTGCTTAAGTATACAATAGAATTTTTCATTTTCCTTATCAGTGACCCACAAATATCAAGAGCTTCCAATATTTTTTAAATATTTAAAAATACATCTCAAGCCATACTCACCTCAAAGATTTGAACAAAGAAACACTTCAACCAGTGAAAATCCCATAAAAAATTACATTGTTTCCATATTCATTTCTACCACGAAACATACATAACCAGTGCCAATTTTTTAGCCAAACTGTTAAAATGTAGTATTTAGGGGCGCCTGGGTGGCTCAGTCATTAAGCGTCTGCCTTCGGCTCAGGTCACGATCCCAGGGTCCTGGGATCTAACTCCACATTGGGCTCCCTGCTCCACGGGGAGCCTGCTTCTTCCTCTCCCCCTCCCCCTGCTTGTGTTCCCTCTCGCGCTGGTCTCTGTCAAATAAATAAATAAAATCTTAATAAAAAAAAAATGTAGTATTTATTATGCACTACACGTACTATATATACTTTCACCCTTATTACTTCCTACTCTTCACAACAATCCTTTAAGATTTATGATCTAGGGATGTCTGGGTGGCCTAGGTGGCTCAGTGGGTTAAGCATCTGCCTTTCGCTCAGGTCATGATCCCAGGGTCCTGGGATGGAGCCCCACATCGGGCTCCTTACTCAGTGGGGAGCCTGCTTCTCCCTCTGCCTGCACCTCCCCCTGCTTGTGCACTTTCTCTGACAAATAAGTAAATAAAATATTTATTTTTTAAGAACTGCAAAGTCTTAAAAAAAAATTATTTAACAAAAAATGAAACTGCCTCTCATAAAGGTGAAGTAATTTATTAAGGAACCCACAACTTCTACATTGTAATGCTGTGCTAGGTCTTTTTTCCCCCTACAACCACTACGCTATCTCATCCACTTAAATGACAGTAATCGGGCTCTTTCCTGTGAAATCAATAAAACTCTTCTTGCCCTAAGGATATATGTTGCATAAATATAATGTAATTATATTTAAGGTTATGTTTCAATTTTTCTAGTCATTTCCTTAAATTTTTCACAAGCTTCATCATAGTAAAGATAAACTTAATTAGTATCAGTGATCCACAGTTTAGAACTTCACAGAGATGAATCAAGCAGCCTTCTACAAGTCATGATCGCAATTTAAGAGTAAATTTGTATTGTAATCCACATACCTGATTCTCCATTTCTGGCAAGACAGCACTATTCACCTGCTCTCCCTTTTTGCCTTTCAACAACCGGTTGAGGTCCTGATAAATATCTTTTGTAAAAAAGTCAGCTCTTTTTCTTTCTGTGATCAGAATTCCTCCTCTCTGAATAACCTATTTTACAAGGAATAATTTAAATTACTTCAAGAAAAGGATTTAAAAAAGAAATGAGAAAAAACTATACCACAAATACAGTAGCAACAGCTTAACCAATTATTAACCCACATTAAATTTTTATATAATGTGCAAGACATTGGTAACATATAAACAAGTATTTTTAAAATCTATAAGCTAAGTTTCCATGAAAATTTAAAATTAAGTTCACATAAAGCTTTCAAAAAATAGTCCCAATAGTAAAAACTCTTAACAGAATAATAATACCTGTAGAATGTTGCTTAGATACTATCTATGCTAACAATGCCCATCATAGATTTGTTCTTTCCCAAGCAGTCTGTATGGCATTTGAGGCCCACAAAAAGAAAAGAATCCTTAGGGGATACAACATCGCTTAAATACCTAAATAAAGCACACACATACACAATCAGTATAATCAGAATTTTTTAAAAAGACTCGGTAAAATAAGAGGTTAAACGTCCCACTGAACTATCAAAAAATAACCCTGAAGACCTACATCTTATTTATTTGATAAACCCATGCTAAATACAGTAATAAATTGGTGGTTTTTTAATGGACCTGAATAACCTCCCCCCACCCCAACTGTGAAAGCATTACTTTTTATCAGTTGTGATCCCCTGAAGATGATATTCTGTTACTTTTTTAGGAAGGAAGGAAGGAGAGGGGGAAATGATCTGAAGCAGAACAAGTCTTCAACAAGAAACAGCCTGTTCTAACGTCCTCTTAAAGATACAAAGTTCCTGGGGCGCCTGGGTGCCTCAGTCATTAGGCATCTGCCTTTGGCTCAGGTCATGATCCCAGGGTCCTGGGATAGAGCCCCACATTGGGCTCCCTGCTCCGCAGGAAGCCTGCTTCTCCCTCTCCCACTCCCCCTGCTTGTGTTCCTGCTCTCCCTCTCTGTCAAATAAATAAATATAATCTTTTTCGGGAAAAAAAAGGAGGCGCCTGGGTGGCTCAGTCGTTAAACGTCTGCCTTCAGCTCAGGTCATGATCATCGGGTCCTGGGATTGAGCCCCGGATTGGGATCCCTGCTCCACGGGAAGCCTGCTTCTCCCTCTCCCACTGCTTGTGTTCCCTCTCTCACTGTGTCTCTCTCTGTCAAATAAATAAAATCTTTAAAAAAAAAAAAAGGGAAAAAAAAGATACAAAGTTCCTGTGAAAGATGAACATCAAGATTTTCCTGAAAATACGTTACTGTATTTAGATACAAAAAATGGACTTTTGAAGTTTTTGTTGTTTTTTTTAAATAAAACAGTGTCTATCATGTTAGTCTTTCCTAGGCTTAGATTTTCCTCCATCACTAACTTGATTCCCTTACCTGCCTCAGTTTTCCCATGTCTCCAGCAGTCTCTCCTCCTGGCAAAACACATTCCTTTGGTCCAATCTGAATCAGCAGAGCCTCCAAATTGGAGAACTGATCATTGTCGGGGAACTCACAAAGTCCTAGCTTCCGCTGTATGGAGTCAACATACCCAACTCCGACCTGTCTTTGGCCATCAACTGTAGATATTTTAACACCCACGACACCAATGGAAGCTGACATATCATTGTTACCAAAGAGAATGTCTTCAAACTGAGAAAGATTACCTGGAGAAGCCTTAACAAAGATAAAGAAAAATTTTAAGAACTGTTGACTGTACTTTAAAATTTTACTAGTAAACAAGCATTACCCAACCCTGACCAATTTTATTAACAAAATTTTCTCTTACAAAAAACTGCTTATAACAATATATTCCAATTATTATTACCTCATTTTCTATAAAGTATCCTCCCTATTTTTCCAATTATTTTCAGGACACTTGGTCATATCTAAAAATAAACGTATCAAAAGAGATTTTCAATTTGAAATTTGGCACTGGATTTATACACATAATCATTAAGGTGTCCAAAGTGATAATCCTATCAGTGGTATGCTTAAATTTCTATATCCTGTGAAAATATCTACCTATTAGTTGCACATACCAGTATTTTCACTGACTATACCACACAGGAGACCAGTAAAATTAGCTAAAAATGCTGACCTTGGAAAGTCAATTCTCTATCAATATATTTATCTGTAAAAGGCAGAGATTGTTCTATATCAGTGATTTCCAAATACAGGGTCCTTGACCTATTTTCAATATTTCAAAAAGATTAGAAATCTCTAAGACTAATCTTCTAAGACTACACAAGTCAACTAAAGGTTCAAGTTTCTTTGCTTTTGGCTGAACTTGTGTCAGGTCAGTGGGTGACACTACATATTTCAACCTGATCAGAAGCTGAAATATGCTGGTAGCATATGGCATTTTGGGGGGGCAACTGACGGCCCACGCTATGAAACAGGAGGTAGTCACAAATTGTCCAAATGACCATGGTGACAGCCAATCTTAAGCAACCAACAGCCATCAACAGTTCAATAGTTCCTGAAGGTGTTTAGCGTCATAATCATGACAATCATTTATTTTTTATAACATGATTCTAAATATCTTATAACTATGGATTGTTGATTAAAATCTGGATCAAAAATGAAATGGAGGGGGGCACCTGGTTGGCTCAGTCATAAGAGTATGGGACTCTTGATCTCAGGGTTGTGAGTCTGAGCCCCATGTTGGGTGTAAAAATTACTTAAAATCTTTTTAAAATTTTTTATTTTATTATTTTTTCTTAAAGTAGGCTCCATGCCCACCGCTTGAACTCATGATCCTGAGATGAAGAGTTGCATGCTCTACCAACTGAGCCAGCCAGGCACCCTTTAAAAAATTTTTTTTTACTGAAATGGAAAAAGCATTATCTCGCACTCAAATTTTAAAAGCAGATTCAATTGCAAATGTAAACATCATACTTTTACATATATACTTTGGATTTGCACAGATTATGAAGCACACCTTTAAAAAACTCTCAAAAGGGAACAAGTAGCTAATAAAATTGGGTTCTTGAGGGTGCTTGAAAATGATTAAGACTGGTAACCTGTGAACTAAATGGTATACATGAGAAAAAAACCAATCATAGAGATCAACTATTTTAAATATCACTAAACTTTATCATAGAATCAATAGGCTAAAAAATGTAATGATAAATCAGTTTTTGCAGTTTTAGATCTGAACTTAACATGTCAGGATGAAGATACCACCTTTTTAATCTGATAAAAATAAATATTTGAAAAAATTTCCCCAACCTAAAAGGTAGGGGTTAAGGAGAATTCATCTTGAAGGATTCTGATATGTCAGAGTGAGGTGTGATGGGCTGATAATCAAGGTAATCTCTTAAACTTAGGATTCCACATTTTGGTGTTACTGAGTTCTGTGAAGAATGAGATAGAAAACATCACTTTGTGGTACCCTCAATTTTCTACTAAAATCTTTAAAGACATAGGCTAAAACTCTAAATAAAAGCCCCACCATTCTCAGGGAAACACCAATGAAAATCCCCAGGAAACTATAATGTTAAATGCTAAATTCTCCCACCCAGATATAATCTTCAGTAAATGTCCACATTTACAAAGGTGGGCAGGGGGAGAAGGACACACTATGGAACAAAGATTGAAGAAGATTATATTTGGGGATGCCTGGGTGACTCAGTTGGTTAAACATTTGCCTTCAGCTCCGGTCATGGTCCCAGGGTCCTGGGAACGAGTCCTGCATCGGGCTCCCTGCTCAGCAGGGTGCCTTTTTCTCCATCTGCCTGCTGTTCCCCCTGTTGCGTTCTTTCTCTGACAAATAAATAAATAAATCTTAAAAAAGAAATAAAAATTATATTTGGGGTAGTACCAAGATCAAATGTTTAAGTATTCTATTAAACCTCACAAGAAAAAAAAAAAAAAATCAAAGGACTTTCAAATTGGAAAACATAAAAAAAAAAAAAAACTTCTAATTTTACTGTTTATGGAGAAACAGATCCAAGAGAAGGTTGGGAAATTTGCCAAGGACACCCAGAGGGACAGCTGAGAAAAGAACATATGCTGACTATAAGCCCAGAGCACTGTCTCCCTTATCACACATTTACTCCCTTTCGAGAATAAATCTCGCCTCCCCAACTACATTCTAACCATTAATTTATTCCAGTATTATTGGGAACCTACTACTGGGAACCTACTCTGCAGGCACTGCATTTGAACATCAAACACAGGACCTTACAGACTAACTATGAAGGTATCATTATACAAAACAAAATAGCACTAGTATGTCCATGAAGGCATAGAAGCATTCATGTCAATGAGCCTTTCTAGGGACACCAAGAAATATGATCACTATTAAAGTCCCTGACTTATAAAAAATTATAAAGTTAATGGAAGAGAAAGGACATACAAAGATACAAACACATTACAAATGTGTACAAATGAGGGGCGCCTGGCTGGCACGTGACTCGATTGTAAATTCAAGCCCCACGCTGGGTGCAGAGATTATTTTAAATTCATAAAGTTTAGGGGCGCCTGGGTGGCTCAGT